ATCTGATGATCTTTTAAATGAAACCAGAGAGCGTTGACAGAGAGGAGAAGGTAGAAATGACTCAGGTACCTGTAGGACTGCAGGATGTCGATGATTCCTAAAAAGATCAGGAGGCTCTCGTCTCGATGTTTGGCAGGAATTCCTCCAAGTCTGAAAAGAGAAATTATTTTTCTACGACCTGCGTTACAGAATCTGGTCTTTCCATCTCGGGGTAAAAAAAAAAAAAGCTCCAACATGAAAATAAGAGTAAAAACTGGTGTTTTTGTTCACAAACGAAGTCCTTTCTGAAGGTTTTCTTACGTGTCGTCGTCGGCCACCGGGTCTGGATCCTTGACGTTCCCCTGGATGGACTCCAGGGCGGTGGAGTACAGGACCTTCTGTCCCCTCCTGCTGTCACATCGACTCCCTCTGCTCAGAGGCTTCCTGTCCAACACGTGGATCCCCAGCAGCAGACTGTAGTCCATGATTTTAAAGCTTTCCAGAACCTGAGGAGACAGAAGCAGAACATGAGAGACCGTGTCTGGATGTCAGATATTATCTTAACTCTGGGTAGCTGTTAGCTTTACTCTGGGTTTTGGTTGACTTCACTCAGTGTAACTGCTAGCTGAACTCTGAGTAGCTGTTAGCTTAATTCACAGTTCCTGTTAGATTTACTCCGAGTTGCTGTTAACTTCACTCAGTGTAGCTGAGTTTGATTATAGGTAGTTGTTAGTTTGACTCTTTGAAGCTTAATTATCAGTTGATGATATGTTTACTCTGGGTAGCCGTTAGAGTTTCAGTATCATTCTTGGTAGCTGTTAGCTTAATTTTTCTTACGTGTTAGCTGTACTCCAAGAAGTTGTTAGCTTTACTTTAAGCAGCTGTTAGCTTAATTTATAGTAGCTGTTAGCTGTGCTCTGTGTAAGATGTTAGCTTTACTATAAGCAGCTAGCTTAATTCTTAAAATGTATTAGCTTAATTTTTAGTAGCTGTTAGCTGTGCTCAGGGCAGCTTTTCGCTTTACTCGGTGTAGCTGTTAGCTTGATTTTAGTTGCTGTCAACTTTACTCTGACAAGGTTTTAGCGTCATTTTTGGTAGCTTTTAGTTTTACTTTGGATAGCTGTTAACTTTCCTTTAAGTAGCTCTTGGCTTAATTCTTAGTAGCAGTTAGCTTTACTCTAAGTAGCTGTTAGCTTAATTCTTAGATGTTAGCTCTTCTCAAAGTAGCTGTTAGCTTAATTTTTAGTAGCTATAGCTGTACTCTGTAGCTGATTAATTCTTAGTAGCAATTACCTTTACTCAAATTAGCTGTTAGCTTAATTCTTAGATGTTAGCTCTACTCAAATTAGCTGTTAGCTTAATTCTTAGTAGATGTTGGCTCTACTCAAATTAGCTGTTAGCTTAATTCTTAGTAGATGTTGGCTCTACTCAAATTAGCTGTTAGCTTAATTCTTAGATGTTAGCTCTACTCAAAGTAGCTGTTAGTTTAATTCTTAGATGTTAGCTCTACTCAAAGTAGCTGTTAGTTTAATTCTTAGATGTTAGGTCTACTCAAAGTAGCTGTTAGCTTAATTCTTAGTAGCTGTAGCTGTACTCTGTAGCTGATTAATTCTTAGTAGCAATTAGCTTTACTCCAAGTAGCTGTTAGCTTAATTCTTAGTAGCTTTACTTTGTAGCTGATTAATTCTTAGAAGATGTTAGCTCTACTCAAAGTAGCTGTTAGTTTAATTCTTAGATGTTAGGTCTACTCAAAGTAGCTGTTAGCTTAATTCTTAGTAGCTGTACTCTGTAGCTGATTAATTCTTAGTAGCAATTAGCTTTACTCCAAGTAGCTGTTAGCTTAATTCTTAGTAGCTTTACTTTGTAGCTGATTAATTCTTAGAAGATGTTAGCTCTACTCAAAGTAGCTGTTAGCTTAATTCTTAGTAGCTGTACTCTGTAGCTGATTAATTCTTAGTAGCAATTAGCTTTACTCCAAGTAGCTGTTAGCTTAATTCTTAGTAGCTGATTAATTCTTAGTAGATGTTAGCTCTACTCAAAGTAGCTGTTAGCTTAATTCTTAGTAGCTGTACTCTGTAGCTGATTAATTCTTAGTAGCAGTTAGCTTTACTCCAAGTAGCTGTTAGCTTAATTCTTAGTAGCTGATTAATTCTTAGTAGATGTTAGCTCTACTCCAAGTAGCTGTCAGCTCAATTCTTAGTAGCTGTACTCTGTGTAGCTGTTAGATTCACTATAAGTAGATTTTAGCTTCAACTTTAGTAGCTGTTACTTTTACTCCAACTAGCTTTTAGCTTCATTCTTAGTAGCCGTTAGCTGTACTTTGTGTAGCAAATAGCTTTACTCTGAATAGTTGTTAGCTTGATTCTCAGTTGCTGTTCGGACTTCTACGTAAGAATTTCTGATTTGTTGATCATACTGAAATGATTCTGAAGACTTTCCACTGCAGGTATGATACTGCCTGCTTATAATTATTCCACACAACCCTTGCTAAGAAAATAAAATGTGATTTTGGTGCCGATTAGGCTTTGTGCAGAACATTCGGAATAAAATGTTTGATCYTCAAATGACAACAGAAGTATAAACTGTCCGGTCTGTGACAGAAACAATCTGATTGTTCAGATTATTGATAAAATCCATTAGTTTTTGGTGTTCAGCTGTATTGAGGATTAAAATGAGGCAACAGCTGCTTGTTTTCATCATGGATGCAGTTTCTCCAGCTTCTCGTAGTTTCAGTCGTATCTACTTGGTTGTTCAATCAACTTATTCCAGTTTTTAAGACCACTCACAGTGGGGTTTAACTCTTTGCCGTCCCGAGTTAAGCCGATCATTCGAGGCCTGATAACGTTACGCAACCAGAGCGGGCCGGGCCGGGCCAGGCCGGTACACGGGGCAGGGCTCAACCTCTGGCTGTTTGGATGACCACAGAGCGCCTGGCTGAACCGCCGTGAAACAACATGAGTCGTCTAATTAAGGATTAAATTCCAGCACATGGAGGCACCTGAGGTCAGAGAGGTCCAGTTGAGCAGCTGCAGAACCAGTCTGCAGGTTAGGTAACCCGGGCCGTTAGGAGCCTCTTTGTTCAAAGGGTTTACTTCAGGATAGCAGTGTTTGGTCAGGAGGGGTGAGATTTGGAGCACGGTGTTCTTTTAGTTTGCAGAAAAAGGTTTAATCTCTTTAAACTCTTAACCCGACTCAGAATATTTTGCTGCTTTTTAAAGACAAAAACGTGACTTTTGTGGGGTTTTTTTTTTTTCCTGTAAACTTGCCCGGCAGTCCCTCTGCAGGGTCTTCATCAGGGCGTTGTAGGTGTCGGGGTCGAAGAAGAGTCCCTCGTGCATGTCCTGGAAGTCCAGGTCCTTGAAGGTGGGCGAGGACTTGGTGCGCTCTTTGCGCGAGGCGCGGCGTTTGTACAGCGAGCCCTTCAAGTCGTACTTGTAGTGCATGTTGATGGCTCGCGGCAGGACGTTGTTCATCACCACCACGCGCACCGTCACGCCGCCGCACTGGATGCAGTACAGGCCGTAGAACTTCGGAAGCAACGTTCTCGGGTTCTGGTTCAGGTTCTGCAACCACAAATAGAGCATAGCATAGCATAGTTAGCTAAATTTCAATATAAGTTAGCAACTCTAGCTGTGCAATTTAGCTTAGTTAGCCAAATATCAATGGAGAGGTGTGTTTTAGCTACATCTTTTAGCTGAACAGAACTAGCCACAAATTAGCAAAACTTTAGCTAAAGATAAAAGTAGCTAATCCATAGCTGTAAACTATAAGTGGAGTATAAAAGTTAAAAAAAAAACAAAGGTTGTGTGTTATTCTGTAAATGGTTGAAACAGTTTCAAGTGTGCAGGAATAGAAGGTAACCAAAATGTTATCTTTGCTAACCACAAATCTGCTAAACTAAAATATGAGCTTCATAAATGCTAAACTACTAAACTAATGAGCCCGCGAGGGGACAAGGGGGATTTTTTTCTTTTTGCGTTCCCATACAAAAGTATTGCGTTGCCTCGCAAAAGTCGTTAAACACTGTTGTGCTGCAGGTTTATTAACAAACTCACATGTTTACCATTAGCGAGTTAGCCTACTGCTTTAACTCAGCTTCAAAATGAATATATCACACAACCACGCATGGAAGTGTGTCATATGCCGATATTTTAACACAGTGCAGCCACGCAACATCAATGTCAATTTCACTAACTTGTAGCGACACATCCTGTTTTGGTAACTGAATATTTCAAAAATAAAAGTCTGATTTAATTCAGTCCATATACTAATCAAACTTTTGCGAGAGAACGCAAAGGTATTGCGAGAGAACGCAAAGGTATCGCGAGGGAACGCAAAGGTATCGCGAGG